CAATCAGGACTATGTTATGTCTAAATCAAAATTCTCCCAAGCTAAGCAAAGGGAACACTCTTTCTAGTCTCGTTTTGCCCACTTATATATCCTTTGAGTCTTTATGTATTCTACTTTACTTTTATTTTTTACATATTTATTTTACTCAAGGAAACTTTCTTGAGTATCCTGCTGCTAATGACCTGTTTCAAAGGAAAATGAAAGATAACGATAACCCTTGGCCATTGACTCTGGTGCCCTAAATCCTTGAATGGCTGCAGCAGAAATAAGGGTAAAGCCTGGGAAAATGAGTATGGCGTGTCATTAATCGTTAGCCATGTCGTTGCCTCTTCCGTCCCACCACCATCTCAACCATTAGAACTCATATATTCCTGGTCCCATTCATCCAGGACCTTTCTGTACATCTCAGAAATGATAACCTATTTCAAGTTACTCATTATGTTCAATTTTCTCCTTTTTTAATGTATATTTGGATTGCTTTATCTTAATTCTTAAAAAAAAAAATTTTTTTTTAGAATTTAAAAGAAAAACTTGCCCCAGCATGTGTCCAAATCCACAAAAGTATAACAGATTTGAGCACAAAATTCTTTCAAGAAACTAGAAGGCATTATTATATCACTCCCAGGAGCTACTTGCAATTCATGGATACGTTTGCATACATTTTGAAGTCACGAGAGAAAGAGATGCAAATGAAGAGGTAAGACTTTGAGATCAAATAAGCAATATGTTTTTTACATTGCTGCTTTATTTGTAAAAAGGGACACAAATACAAAACAGTGAGCCCAAATCTGTCTTTTCAGTGGCAGAAAAGGCCAAAAAGCTGCAGAATACCTTAAAAAAGGTAAGGTGGGTGTCTCCCCTCTTTGCATTCACAGGCTGCCCCTGTCAAGGCAAGGCCAACACAATCAGTCAGTAGAGAAACAGTGAGACCTTGTTAGATTCAGACAGTTTATTACTTACATAGACAATGAAAACAAGAATGCCAAAGGTGCCAGCTCTCCATGTTTCTGTCCCATGGACGACACCAAAGTAAAAGGGGCCAGTTGACTGCAACACAGAGAGTGGAGATCCTGTTGCTGACTGGCCCTGGCTCTTCAGCTAAGCAGTTTTATAGTCTGCAGCTATACCCTAAGAATGGTGGGGGGGCGGGGATGTGAGACATAAAGCCTCATACCTAATCAGAACCAGGGAGGCAGTGAGAAACTGGCTCAGGACAGCCTCACAGGAAGATAGGGAAGTGAATGGGAAATGGTGTTATAGCATCTGCTCGCAAGGTCCTGTGCTCTCATATTCTGGGAGGATCACAGGGTATTCTGGAAAAACTGAGGTCAGTTGCAGTTAAGCCTTGCCTAGAGGACATTTGTGGAGACGCACAAGGTTGCCAGGACACCAGGGTAGAGCTATTTCTCTACAACTCCATCCCTTGACCTTTCACATATCCAACTAAGAATTCTTTTTAAAAATATTGGCCACCCCATCAAATACCCTAATTAATTGTACTGATAAGATCTTGGACCAAATCTATTCTATTTGACTTAGACAACATTGGATGAGCATGACTA